ATACCCATTTTTTGGGCCTGATTCATTTCAATTCTTTACATTTTAGATATAAGTCTTTTCCTGAGCAACAGCTGAGTATAATTTTTCCCGCCCTCTGAGTTGTCTTTTCATTCTGTTGGTGATTTTTTTATTGTACAAAAGGTTTTTTTATAAGGTGAGACCCCCCCCCCGTTGATTCTTTGTAAAAATCCCCATGTACTCTAGGCTTTGTTCATGCTGTACCTACACCTATGTTTTCAGTATGTTTACCTATTTTCTCTTCTAGTAGATTTATTGTTTCCATTTTAATATTTAGAACTTTTATCCATTCTGACTTTCGTTGAGTGCATGGTGACAGACGTGGGCCCAGTTTTAGCCATCAGCATGTGGAACACCATTTATTAATAAGGTGATCTTTCTTCCAGTGAACATGTTCAGGCTCTTTGTCAAAGGTAAGATGTTATTTTTAAAAAGGAAAAAACACAGAAGACCATAGCATGAGTTTATTTTGCTATAAATAGACTCGGCCAGGGTCTCTTTCGTACCTGTCTGCACTTCTGGCTTCCTAGGTGAGAGCCTGGCTACAGTGCTGTCTCCTGCTCCTACCCTCCTCCCTGGCTTTCCTGCACCAGTGCAGCCAGCAGGAGGCGCACTTCTGCCGCCCTGAGTGCCACTGGGTCTGGGCCTAGGAGGGGGAGCAAGCTGGGTATAGGCTCTGAGTCCCGGGCTCCTCCTCCCCAGGATAAGAAGCCAGGCTTCCTGGCTCTTGCTTCTTCTGCTTACAATGTGGCCTCCTTGACTCCCAGGGATTTCGGCTCAAGGCTATTGCCTGCCTGAAGACTGGGACCCACGCTGCCAGCAGGGTCCAAAGTTAAAAGACAGACACATAATAAAAGGAAAGCTGGGACCCGGTGCAAGCTGACCTCTCTGATGGAGAAGCAGCAACCACCCATGCAGTCTCCATCTTTATTTATACACAGTAAAAAGGAGGAAGCAAGAAACAGAGAGGCAAGTGCAAGTCACACAGAAAGCAAAACATTTTCAGAGCATTCTGTGCTGTAGTTAACCGGTAGGAACACCAAGGCTGGACACCTGCAGATATGCCACTGAGCTAGAGGTCAGCTTGTCTACTAGAGGCAGACTGTGCCCCCAGGACTGGCTCTGTTCTTGCCTCAACAACTTGTTCACACGGCTCACCTCAGACGCTGCATGTTCCCAGGACTGGCCTTGCTCTGATGTGTGGTCAATCTCCAGCCCAGCTGCTCACCACACAAGATGCTGATTCACTGGAAGCCAAGCACTGGTGTGGTCTCTGAGGAACGGCAGAGACTTGTCCCAGAAGCAGTGGGAGAAGCGCGTGCTCCTGCTGGGGCTGTCCATCTCCCAAGGACCAGACCTTGAGAGGTAGGGTGGAGACCTAGAGCTCATGATGACTTTGTATAAGAAGAAAACGATGCCACCACTAGACACAGCCAATCAGTCCCAAGCTGGATCCACCTCTTCAGTTTTTCAAGGTAACCTGGCACATCTGAGGTTTCTCTCACTTAATAATGCACCAAGCCAGGTCAAATATGGCTGAGTCTCCTGTGTATTTCCTGGAGCTAAGGCCAAAATCTTCATCTCCATTTCTAAGCAGAGCTTCTACCTGAATACTTGCTTTATCCCCTATGACGATGTCAAGTCCACCAGCCTAGATGGTCTTCCTATCCCTAGGTCCTACAAGCCTGGATTTCCTCAGCTTTCCATAGGCAAAGCAACT